CCAATCTCGAGTAGTGAACTGCTTTGAAACATAGAGTCTCTCATTCAGTCCCCCAGTCTTGACTTCTGAGCAATCTGAGAAGGACGTGTGTCTGGCAGAGGTTCCAAACCCAAAATCAAAATCACTTATATACGATCATGTATTATCAGACAAGTGTGCAGCACTTTACATAAGAAAAAAAAGGATCACTGTTTTCGATTTGTAAAAATCGTTCTCATGGACTATAGAAGATCTGGGATAGACGTGAGAATTGGTTGTAGTAGTTTGATGATTAGCTAGTTCATAACTGAGGACAATTCAAAAGTAGGCTTAAAGACATAGTCGGTTGAGCAAATCAAAATCAACCCTAACAATATGTGGTCAATGACAGTCGGAAATACCCGCTCCGAGCCGAGATTGTTTATCATTGAAGAAAAAATAAACAGCTCTTAAGATATACCATTCTTTAGCTTCTTTGAGCTTCCATCACCAAGGAAAGACCGCCAACAACAACCTTGGTGTACGATGGATTCATCAAAGCCCCAAGCCAACGTAGCTTTTTACTTTACGAGCTTTTCTCTCTTTCCTAAAGAGATACAGCTTAAAATTTGGTTCCAAGCGCTTCCAGAAGGACAACTCGTCTACCAGGATTCTAAAGGGCCATTCCAACCACCAAAGCCCTCCGCGCTATACTACGCCTGTCTCGATTCTCGCGAGGTCTATCTTAAACATTATAAGCAACTCTACCTTCACGATCGAACCTGCCCTTTTGTGGGGACCAAAAGGAAAACTTACCGTTCGTTCTACAACCCTATAAAGGATACACTTGTATACACATGTACGGATCACCTCTTACTTCAAGAAATCAGTGGATGTTGTAGCGCAGAAAGTGACTTGCTCTCTCAAGCTCGTTACATCGCCTTTGTAGCTGGTCGAGAATGTTATCCTTCATACAGATCGCCTACATTGCACAATCCCAGGTATAGGCCATTGGCTAAATCACCAGAATTTGGATTTGGAGTCTGGAAGTATGTTTACGAACATTTCCTCTATAGCAATCCTGTAGTTGAATCTGTTACCTATCTGGTCGGAAGGCAGACGATTCGCAAGACAGCTAGATTATACCCTGGGATGAGGTTGGTTACGACGCTAAAAGAGTTCGGCGAGCATCGATCGGGTGAGTGGAAGTACTGGAACATGGTCGCGAAGAGTAATCATGAACACACGATCAATGATATTCGCAGTAGTTTCGAGGAGTGGAAAGAGATGCATCCAGAGGTGAAAATTCCGCGAATCGAGTTGGCGTTCCCGAGGAAAAAGCAAATGTCAAGTTAGAAGATTGGTACGGGTTCGTTCTTGCGATTGGGTACCAGGTTTTATACTAATTCTTGTTAATTAGGTATAGAATCGAGACAGAGATACGGGAATCGATCTTATCTTACACAGCTTCTGCACACGGAATTGTTCGTCTTTCTTCGGTAAATGAGCCTCAGTTATGGAAACACATGATCTCACAGTCAAAGGGTACCAAGGATGGTGCATTCGAATTCAGGAACGAGGGATATCGTTCGTGGCTGTTTGCCTTGAGGATTGGGATTCGTGATGAAAGACTTGGTTGCAGACGGTCGTTCTCCATCCATCCGCTAAGGTAGAAATCTGCAGACATAGATAAGATACATCCAAATCCACAAACGCTTTTGACCGCGAGAAACGCGAAGCTATTGAAGAGTATCATCGTACCAATTGCAAGGACTGCCTTCAATAATCCAGTTTGCTGATCCTAATTTCATGCTTATTTCTCGCAGTATCTTTCCCCAGTGAACTTTCCATGTCGTCGGCGGGGTGGTACCAGGATGACTAATCCAACAGAAATCAATAGCTTCCATCAACAACATGCAATCCCGAGGTCACTCTCTTCAGTTCTGATGTTTCTTTCACCATTAACCTTGATACATGCGAAACTAAGAAATTTTCAAAGCGAACAGCTGGATTATAGAACTGTATTATGTCGATTGGGAACGCGACGAGCTAAGCTCACGCTGACAAAAGAAGCCACCAGCACAGCTCAGGTTCTTACGAAGTAGACGGCACCGTACATCCAGTTCTCATAATCAGATATGAAGCTCGTCATCTCAGACTTCTACGCGGGTCGAGAAGAATAGACGTCTCAAAACTGTTCCATTGCTCAAAACACTGCTCTTCTTTGAGGCTCCCTCGCCCAGAAGATTTTTTCTCGGCCAAGACAAATCTACTGACGAATCATGAGTAGTACAGCCTCATCAATTATCGTCATTTAGACTTGCCTAGCCTGTTCAAATTGGGTTAAGTATTGGCAGATTCTTAAATTTGTCTGGAAGCATCTTAGAAGCCGAGTCTTGAGAGCGGCATTACATAATATAAAATGAAGCTTCAATAATCCAACAGCATCAACCTTGGATGTTGGGATGAGGTATCTATGTTCTCACATCCAGTTCATATGGTTCACAAGGTGGCTTATATTCTTTATCTAGCTCCGTCCATAACCCCCAAAGCCAGCCACGCTATTGGCACGATAAGAATTTCATTCTCACTCCCACTTTCAGTCTAATAATGAACCGATTATTATTCTACTGACCAATTTGTTATTTCGTCGGTATCATGATAGGACTTCGGATTCCTCACAGAATGATTACCAATTTCGATAAGGATACGACCAAACTATGCGTTATCTAACCGTTCCGGGTTCTCATTGAAGCTCGTGGGGATGAACATGACCGCAACTACGAGAATGGTTGTTTTTTCAAAATGATAAGACGCCGATGACGTCTGGGAAATTCAATTTGAACACCGACAGGTCTGCCGATGTAAAAGTATTAAATGTTTAACACAACATATTGAGGATTCTCCACATCTTTCCGTTCATTTCCCTCGTCCCCAGATGTAAAGTTTGGATGATCGCGTCTGATCGTACACTGTCGAAGAAGCGAGATCAATGCGTGCAACGGGCAGCGATGACCAACAGCCTGAATATCAAGGTTGAGAAGAATACCGCCCCGCCCATCATCATGGATCGAGCGCCGGATATTTTAGGGACGTCCGAGATCCGATAGGGAAGATTGACTTGGTAAGGTTATTCGTCGGTAGTTAAGTGAGTTGTTGGCTTATCCCCTGAAAATGCCCCTCTCCGCTAGTCACTAGACTATCTACCCGCATTCCACTGTTCCACTCCTTCGTTTTCCCTGAACATCAGGACCAGGTACCAACCCCACGATTTATATACAATGAGCCTTTTTTTCTACGACCGAGAGTCAATTCGTATCCCAGCGATACCGGTTGGATAATGATTGGACGCATGATTTGATAATGTTATTGGCGTTGGAGGATTAGTTTGATAAAGATAAACACTTGGTAGCTAAGTCTGGCAATGATGCACTAAACTATCATGTAAAATACTTGGCAGCCAGTAAGAGTATTCTACCCGGTGAGATATCGTGATGTATTGGCGATGAGTATAAAGAGATCATGGTTTTCCTTTTGTAGTCAGTACCTCATCCTTCCTTACCCAGAAGAACATCCTCCAACTCATCATGTTCTCACGTTTCTTGTCTGTTACTGCTCTCGCAGCAATTGCCTCTGCTTCCCCAGTGGTTTACCAGCGTGATACAAGTCCATTTGTCTTCACCAACTCCAATGGACTTAACTTCACTCAGATGAATGCAAGCCTGCCAAATATCACTGTTTTCGCAACTGGTATGGCAATCTTTCAGCCAATTTCTTAAAATATATACTAACTCAATACAGGTGGTACAATTGCAGGTTCTAGCAGCAGTAACACAGCAACGACTGGATATACTGCAGGTGCCGTGGGAATTCTAACTCTCCTCGACGCAGTTCCAGAAGTCCTTAACGTCTCCAACGTTGCTGGAGTACAAATCTCCAACGTCGGTAGTGAAGATGTGACCTCCAGCATTCTCCTTGACCTCTCAAAGCAAATCAACGAGGTAATTTGCAACGATGATACCATGAGTGGTGCAGTCATTACCCACGGTACAGATACATTAGAAGAGACCGCCTTCTTCATGGATGCCACCGTCAACTGTGGAAAACCGGTCGTCATCGTTGGATCCATGCGTCCATCCACCGCCATTTCAGCAGATGGACCTTTCAATCTTCTCGAAGCTATTACAGTGGGTGTAAGTCCCAAAGCCGTTGGTCGTGGAGCTTTGGTTGTTCTAAATGATCGTATTGTTTCCGCATACTATGTTACCAAGACAAACGCCAATACTATGGACACTTTCAAAGCCGTCGAGATGGGTAACTTGGGTACTCTCATCTCAAATACTCCTTACTTTTTCTACCCACCAGTTGAACCCACTGGAAAGATTGCATACGATATTTCGAATGTAACCGAGATCCCCCGAGTGGATATCTTGTTCGCAAATCAAGACATGCATAACGATACCCTATACAATGCTGTTTCTAGCGGTGCCAAGGGCATAGTTGTAAGTTCCCCCTTTACCTTCTTCACCGCAAATATCCGACCTAACATCTCTACTAGATTGCCGGTGCCGGTGCAGGAGGTGTAAGCACATCCTTCAACTACGCCATGGAAGATGTAATCAATAGATTGAACATCCCCATCGTCCAAAGTACTCGTGCTCCAAATGGAGAAGTTCCTCTCTCTGATGTCAGCAGTGAGACAGCCTTGCATATTGCATCTGGATACTTGAACCCTCAGAAGTCGAAGGTTTTGCTCGGCATTTTGTTGGCATTGGAGAAGAACTCTACTGAGATTAGTGAGGCTTTCGCAGGAAGTGCTGTTGCTTAAATTTTCGATAAAAAACGGTGTAGATGAATGTTTAATGATACCTTTATGACTGAGAAAATAGCTTTATGTCTTATAGCTCTTCTCAAATACTTCTTGTAAATAGATTAATTTTATATATGTAGCAGTCGCTAGTACGCAACAAAAATTTCGCAAAAGCATCGCGGTCAAAGAATATTTCTTCACTTCTATAAATGGGTCGAGTCTGTCTCGTGACTTACTCATCCTTCTTTTCAGCGCAGTCTTCATTACTCTCCTTCTCGAGGACTCCTTCTCGCATATCCTTCAACTTCTTCCTCGCAGCTTTCACAGATGCTAGGACATCCATTCCCAGATCTCCCGTGCCGATAAGTTCTTTCTCGCCAGGTGGCGTCTCAAATCGAGGGGCGACTTCCGGGAATCCATTTTCATAACTATTTTCAAATTCCTCTAATTTCCTTTCCCAAATCGGAACATGCTCATCCCACCATTGAACATTATCCTCTCTGATCTTTTCTCCAGCAACGATAATATATTGAGTTGCTATCACAACTTTAAAATCTGTATCAATTCCTGGAATAGGGTCGTGATTCGGATTCAAAGCTTCGCAAATCTCAACATCGGGGAATTTTAACGCGTTCTTATCGTGATCGTCAACACTCGCAGCAATGCAGCGAGCATAGAATGCCGAGAGATTGATCCACTCAATACACGATTGAGTATATTCCTCTTGGGTTTTCACATCCAAATCAAGCTCATCCACTGCGCAAGGTTAGCTGAATGTATATGAAAGAGATAGCTGACGTACCTTTTCTCGCATTCCACATATCGTGCTTGACTTCTATATTGATATCATGATACATCGGGCTTTCCTCGACAATCTATCGCTCATCATGTTAGTATGCATCTCATTCGGACCCAACAAGTCTCTGCTCACCTTGCCGTCGACACCCTTGAAAGCTTTTCTTGGGAGTTTCAGAAGCTCAACTATAAGCTGTAACAACATGTCTTGTTTACGATCCTCGTATGGTATAAGTGCCGCTAAGTCGTAAATTGTTTGGAACACAAAATTAAGGGAGTCGCGCGTAGAATCGTCAATTTGTTTGGCGGTTTTCGCAGCAGTATCATCGTTATCAGAAAGGAGAAAATCTATGAAGATGTTTGAAATTTTTGGAACGAACTCCTGACCGGATGGTATCGAGGCTTGTTTAGTGAGGAAAGTAAGCCATGGAGGCTGAATTTCTGTACCAGAAGCCATGCTAGACAATGATTGATTTTGTGCTGGATGGAGATAATATACCTTGCTCTGTAACAAGTAAATGCTGTTGGTAGATGGATATCTCAATAGTTGGATGAACTTACGGTAGCGAGGGGGGTCATTAGTTTTATAAAATTCACTTGCCATTTGTTCGTTTGAATGAAGGACTGCGCCGCTTGCACAACAAGGGGTGGCTCAAGCAATAAAGTGGGGTGTAACCTTATTTATAAGTACCATTTCATCCAATCCTAATAAGCGCTTAAATGTACCCTCTCACGTGTAAGCACACTGCCAGCATTTTGGCACGATGTTACATTACGCGGATGAATTTGATAGCCTATCCAACCACGTAAGTTTTTCTCCAAAATTTCGAAAAACGCGAAACGAACGCCCCAGCCGCTCCTGCAGCCATTAGTCACACGGCGGTACCGACAGTTTGGTAAATACGACGACTTGGGTGGATGACCGAGGTGGGTTCTGAAATACCGCTGATCTCTTACCAGAGATTTACAACGATACCAGGATTCTACCCCGTAGCGCTTAGCCTTTGGTGTTATTCAGAGAACATCACTCGTGATCCGGAATCTGATAAGTATTGGAGTCCCAAAAATAGACCATAGATTGCACCCAGCGGTACCCAGCGGTACCGGCACATTGGTAAGGTAAGAAGGCCAATAAAGTGACTGACTATCGTCTGTCTTCCAATTATTCTACAAATTTGGACTTGCTGTTCGAAACGTCGCTAGCTATTTTCATGAGGACAGTTACATTTTGGCATGGAAGCGTCTAAGGCGCTTACAGTCTCATGCCATGAAGTAGTATATGCGGACGGGACCTAAATTATAAGCCATGAATTGGTTTGTTAGATTTGGAGAAAAGGTAAGAGAAATGTCCCGGCCCCTAGCTATTGCTAAAAGAAGGCTAAATATTCTATTCTTGCAGACAGAGGTGTCAAAAGATGTTATTCGAAGCGGATGATTGGATGAGAGTAGCATTGTTATATTGGTTACCGGTATTGATGCCGACTTAATGTCATGTTATTATGAAATCTTAATCTCTAGATACGCAATAGAGTGTACAAAAAGTAAATCTATAAGAATGATGAGTGAGGCCTCAATGCTATATCCAAATCCATATATTTCTCATCATCAGCTGGCTGATAATTCCACGGTGTTCATTGCTTATCATATGTTTTGCCACATATGATCAAATCTTTATTTCAAGAATATCACGGCGATCTCTTATTGAGCTACAGTTGAACCAGATTCAGAGTATAGATCATCCCTAGTCTCTTTATACATAATGTGGTACTAATGAAAATCAGACCCTCTATTACATCTCCAGTCACACGCTTTTTTTTAAGCCCAAGATGAATCACGGAAGAAGAAATTCCGATAATACTAAGGATCATCTAGTAAGTCACTAACCTATAATCAAGCCATACCTTCTGACCTTTCCTCTAGCAATACCATACACCGCGTGGTAACATTACACACAAGGTAGTGGTTGCCGAGATACATCGAGCTCCCCCGACTCTTCCAAGAAACGACATAAACAATATGCCACATAGATACGGTAATAGAGAAGGTCAGCGCCCAAACCAGTATCCGCTCTTCGAAAGCAGAGAACTGCCTCAGCGAAGAATCAACGCAAATAGAACAGGACCTGTTCCTTTATACGAGTATCCTGTCACAACGCCAGACAAGTCTTCTTTCGACTACAGCCGAGCAAAGGTGGAGCCGCGAGCAGTCCCTCCGCATGAGCGAGCGATGAGGCTCGAGCCGGAAACTAGATTCAATGATGTGGGTTTCATGAGAGGGATTACTGGTCCGGACAAAAAGATTGTCGGTGCAATATATCATCCTGTTGGAGATCGTGCTGGGTTTGCTCGTGCGGAGCTCCAGCCACTTGACCGCCAGGGAAGAGAACATAATCGAATGCTTCATGAGCGAGCGCAGCATGCCCCACGGTCACCAACTTGGCCAACTAAATCAACCAGATGATAAGTTGCGTACAAGCTGGTCAGCTTCTGGGGACCAAAATAGGAGCTAAATGGAGTTAGAAATAAGTCAGAAAATGTATGAGAGATTCAAGTGGGGGTTCGCTTGGAGTGGAGAATGGGCGTTGAGTTAACTTTGGGAACCGGAATGGGGAAATTGAATAGGATAACACGCGAGATAGTGTGGGGAATTGAAAATAGTAATTGTATAAGGAGCCTAGGGTCACAATCTACAAGGTTGATATCACACTTGCCAAGTCTTGCACCGGATACCTTTGGGTAATTGCGTTTGAATTTGTGTCGGGTATTGCTGCGTGCCTTTTTGTGTTACCGTTTTAGAATTGAGTTTGCCGAGGATCAAGGTATAGTTAATGCTTTGAGCCTGTCGTTGGTCCGAAAAGTACTTGCTGCGTTGATGGAATGAGCTAGCAATGAAACAGATAGTTTGAGCAAAAGATGGAACAAATGACGATAAAATGATCATGTGAGAATATTGATTTCGGATACCTGAAGTTGGAGTTCACCTAATTGCTCTTTACGCCTCGTTGAATGTTCAAAAACCATTAAACCTGAAAACAGGTGTAAAAAATACTTCATTAGATATTTTAAGTAAACGGCTGTGATTAGAGGGTGGGACTTCTCGATCTCCGGGAAACCCCTAGAAAAACTTCAAATTCAGTTATATTTTGTACCTGAATTCTCTAGAGTCCGGATTGCAATTCTAAATGAGGTGCTTTCTATCTGATGTAAATCGAGTATCAAAGAAGGTCTTGACATCGAATGCTAATCAAAAGACTAAAAGCCAACATTCCTTCTTCCAGAGATTATCGAAAGCCATGGTTTTATCCACTACCTTTGACTTTCGTTATTCAGCTTCGCTCCTGGCTTTTGTGCACACATCTATGCACTTCGTTCCTGTAATCCAAGAAGAATAATTCACAATACACTACTCTTTCCCTGAGAGAAAACCTCATCTGCAGTCTTCACTGCTCCTTCCTCATATAGTCGATGACTGTATATTATGATCTCGCGATGTCAACGAACCATCTTATCATTGGATTATACAAACTCATATCATAAATTCATATATCAGTTATTCATATTGGAGCTTCGGACGATGGATCAATCACAGAAGCGGAAATATTGTTTCCAGACACGCGTCTTTACAAATTTTCGAGGCAATGCTGATTACATTCCTGGCATGCCAACTATGTCTGCCCCGAGGAATAGACGCTTTGAATCTGTTGCTGAGTTTGTCAAACGCTACAGTCACCGTAAAAGGCAGTGGGAAAATATTGTAAGTTCAGGGGGTCAAGTGGACCTAGGCATTACAGAAGAGAATCTTCGTAGGCTTGGTCATTTGGGAATACCAAAGGGTGTCAACAAAGATAGTTTGATTAAGCCGAGTGAAGACTGGTTCAAGGAACATCCTGAGTTCCGTGAAGACTGGGAGAGCATGATAAAGAATTTCCGTGGAGGACGAGAAATCATCGAGGCCAAGGTGTGCATAATATTTGGAATGATAATTGCAACATTTGCTAATGATTCAACTCATCACAGGCGCTTAGTGATGCTTTTATGAACGATCCCGTGGGAATACTCTTTTTCAATCATCTGACAACAAACAGTTAATGAGGATGATAGAATTCTGGAATTATACACGTCACCCAGCATGAAAGTCACATGTATCCAGGTCAAATTATATATGTTCTCGAGGTTTGAGTTTCCTCTCTTGATTCGCATAACATAGACTCATTTGATACTTTAAAGCCTACATTAGGAAGCGGCCCTAGTCAACCAGTGCTTCTACCTAGTCGAGCTCAACAGAGTGTATAGCCGTCTCTTAACACTGCTGGCTTCTTATCGGCAAAGCCAAATCAAACTGCTGATCTTCAAAAACACAGCAAACTCAACGAAGATGCCATCAATCCTAGTACCTCTTTCTTGATGCCCTCTCAGACCCATCCCGGCAACAGCAACCCATTTTCAGCCACACCAGGTGCAACTACAACAATGTTTCATGGTGGTAACAGCAGTATAGATGGATGGATCAATCAATGGCGATGAGAATATCCTAGTCTCAAAAATCTCACCAATAGGTTAGTTCATATATCTTGGCATGTGACAAGTCCACTAAAACAAAAGCAGAATCGAATAGATTTTGATGTGGCATTGATAATGGAAAAATCATGATGATATAGTGCTTGTATTCGGAGTTAGGCTTGGGTATGAAGCGCATGAAATTCTTTATTTGATTGTTTTCATCCAGCAGTCTGCAGATGACCCAGCGCCTACATACTGGCAGGGTCTAGAATCCCACTATTTTAGGTGTGGAAAAGTAATTCTAATGAGGGAACGAGGATTATCAATAAAAATACTTTTTTTCTTCGACATACAGTCTCCAAAAGCTTCTCTCTCCTCCGTATGACTACTTGAGGGTCCAGACATCCCATCATGAAGCCCACATCCCGTCAAAAATCGAAATGTAAACATTGACCCTGTCGTCAGTACCGTAGAATGTTTGATGGCTAAAGCCGAAGGGACCATCCATCAATTAACGTCACGAATACAATCACGGACTCTTCGCTTGTCAAGGGGCAATCGTGCAGCCCTCGATACTGTGTGGCGTTTTGCTTTGTATGACTTCAAAGCTGTTGGATCAAAGATGCGTCGTGTAGAGTCTGCACGTTATGTGTCAGCAATCTGCAGGCTGCACGTGAACTTGTGCAACATACCAAACGCACTTCTTGGAACATTTTCAAACAAACATACTGCATTGACAATTAATACCTTGAAAAGTGGGAGCATCGAACTAGTTTATTTTGCCCCTCGCCAATAGATACAGGATACACACAAAAAGCCTTGAAATCTTGTCAAGAAACACGAGGAGCTGCATCTTTTCCTTGAGGGGAAGGATAGGAGATTCTCGTAACTCGAAGGACCTCGATGGCCTTTTACCGATTAGGTTGCTAGTTGACGGCTTATTATTATGTGTTCAAGATGAATACAAATGTCTGAATATGCCAGAGTTGTCAGGAGATTTTCAACGCTCATCTGGATCGAGAAGCATGACACTCTCCTCGAGACTGATGTATCGAAGCCTATACGACATTCGGCCTCCCTTCACAAGTGTGATCAAACAAGAACTCTGATAGCTGGACCTCCAAACTTTGCCATCCATGGCTTTTCGATGGAGAAAGTCTGTCTGCAAAAGTCTTACTTAACATCACAACGACTTCTTTCAGCTATTGGACCCTTCCGAATTCTTTCACCCCAAAGACCATAAAAATGACAATGACACCATACTAAAGTACTAACTGCAGATCATGATCTTAGAATTCATATTGCTTATGAACATTTGAAGCCACTAGAGTATGTTGCAGACGTCAAAATGCGTGTAACTTTGAGTGAAAGTGGCTGGAGAAAGTTCGTTACAGAGCTTCTCAACCAGACTGTATCGTCCGATAATCACTAACAAAGTTTTCAGATGAGGAGATTTCGCACACGATAGTGTGTCTACCGGCCTCGCCATTAATAGATGCTAATTTGAGGTAGCAACGATAAAAACTTGTCGAGGAGTGAGAACTTAGCATCACTCGGATATGTCGAAGTATTTTTGTTTTTAAAATTTGCATTGTTATTGGCCATCTAAGCCTCTTGAATGTATCAACTTTCATTTGTATGGTTTGAAAAGTATTCACTTTCCACTCTCTTCCAACAAGGACCGCGAAAAGCCGCTTCTTGAACCAAACCATAAGATTCATCGGATTTTTTCTCAATACCACCTGGCGAATCCAACACAACTTTGTACAATCACTGCTTTTACTCCGCTTTCTATCAACTCTCTTGATTTGTTATTGCGCTTTTGCACCCAGACTCTACTTTTATTAAAGACAATCTTTTCAACTGGATAGCTTTCAAAACCGACACAACTTTTGCCATGTCGATCCAACAGCTTTCCAAATTTCTAAACGATCAGAATGAACTTCGTCGTCAAGCTCGAGGCTGTTTCCGTGCAGTATTCTTACAATACGATTATTCTGAATCGCAACAAGTCTTCAAGGATAAATTTCCTTCAAGTAATTTCTCTGCGCTCGGTGGTCTAAAAGATTGGGAATGGTTCATCGATGAAAAAAGTGCAATCTGCTCGAGCATGTCTGTTTTCGATTACCACTGATTATGAATTATAGGCAAACCAAACATCCGACCGAGCTATTATAACCCGAGATTGCACATTCCAATGGGCCCTGTCCCAAGTCCTGCAACAAGACTCGAGCAAAACGAGACGGGTATGCCAAACGCGGTGTTGGGGCTTCTTTATACTCTATCATTCGAAGAATTGGATGCACTAGCACAAGAGCAATGCTTAGAAGACAGACAACAGTTTTACATTCCTGTTCTAATTCAATCAAGGTCAATTAACGGTTTTGATAAAAAGATGATTGTGGCGACCATTTTCGTGGACATGGCCACCACTAGAGGTGGTTCTGTTGATTTAACAAATGAGTCAACGAACTTAAAATGGGTTACGGCGATCAAACGCATGGGACTAATAGGAATGTCGAATTGGTATGTCAAAAGTATCGAGGCGAAACTTAGAGGATGGGATAAGAGGGTTGAGCCTCTTCTTGTTCGTCTCAATCCAAATCCTACCATTGATCCACGGACAGCCCAAAGACAGGCAGCTATCATCTCGGATGCAAGGCTCAAGCAGCAGCAACAACAGCAACAGCAAGAAGATCAACAAGGGCGACAAAAGCAGAAGAAAGTACCAAGTCGACCAATGATCACAATTTCCCAAAGACAGCGAGACTCTATGCTACAGCAGATCCTGAACCATGGAATGATATCATCCGAGGCCATGCAAAGCTTAACGAATCACAAAAGACTGCTATGGTCGACACCTATTTACGCAAACAACAAAAAGCAATTTATGCAAAAAACAAAGCTGAGAAGAAACGACTCGAGGAAGCTTCTCAAGTTTCTGCTCCAAGGATTGGAATGCCAGGACAACAAGGAATTGTCAAAGCCACAGGACAGCAAACAAACCCACGTGAAGAGGCTATCCTCAACGATATCCTCCGAAAGCAAAAAGATGCAGTACGAGAGCAAGATTCTAGAGGAAGTTCTAGAATGCCGCCACCACCACAACCAGTTCGCAGATACTCACAAAGTAGTCCAGGAAAAGGTCAAGCACAAGTACAATCACAAGTACAAAATGGAAATACCAGGCCTCCACCACAACTCAACTATCCTCAAAATCCTAATAATCTCAAACGACAAGCTTCGAATTCAATTTCTAATGCTATTGGCGCCCCAGATGCTAAACGACGGAATACGGGAAATACGGGTAGTAAAGCGGGAGATTTACAGGACTCTAACAGAAATAATGGAGACTTGAAAGATACAGCTTCAAATCTAAACACAAAGAACAATCCAAATGTTTCTGAGGAAGCCAAACCTAAGACAAGAGGGCGACCTAGGAAGAGTCGGGCTAAGGTACCGCCCACTGCCGATTTGAGTAATCTGAATCAAGGTGGACAGAATAGCCAAGTTGTAGGAACTAGTATGGGCTCAGGTAGAAAGGTACGCGCGAATGTCAATGCGAAGGGTAATGCGAATGCGATATCTGGAAGTCAAGCGCAAGCTGCTCCTGGAAATTTAAGTCAAGCAGCGAATGGCAATGGAATCGGTAACGCGTATTCGAGTGGAAATCTCAATGCGTCGAACAGATCACAAGCTCTTCCGCACGTGGAACAAGCAGCGAAGATGGTGGATTATTTCCAGCCAAAAGCGAACGGGGAGAATGCGGGAGATGGAAGGTTGCAGTAGAGTACATGCGAGATGAAGGTGGATCTGGGGATAGGGTGGTGAGATTGGGATGCGGGTGGATAATATACTGGGTGGAAGATGTAGAGCTGGAGAGGGAGTTACATAGAATGGGCATGTATCGACGCATCAGATATCACACGATACTTCTGCAGTCTTTTGGGAAATCAAGCAGATATGAACGCTTTTCCAAACGACCTTCGGTCGAGCTTGGTATGTGAGAGGGTAGTGGATATTGGTTGGCTCTGGGTATGCTTAGATGGAGCACTACTTCTTGAATCACTTTAGAATAGCTGAAGTTGGGCGTAAGGGGAAGTTTATATTTCTTTATGAGCGCGGGAGTGGGATCGATATTTGGGATGATGAATACATGAAGATGACAGATATGATATGAGGGATGAGAGGGGAGTCATATTAGGCAGCGCTGCGAATGAGGATAGAGGCATAGAGATAGTAATGCTTTTTCAATAATAGTAGTGCGGGTGTTTGAGAAGTGAGGAAGTGATGTGGGTGAGAGGAATGAAAGCCTTTATTTCGGTTGAGAATGATCGTGTTCGTGAAGTAGAATGTCTTGTGTATTTCATGTGTCTGGATTGATTGTAATAGATGATGCGCCAGAAAAAATAATTATACTGAATGCCAGGGCGAATAGCTAGTGATAGAATGGCGGGATGAGCATTTAGAAATTCCATGTGGAAAAGAGGAAAATTGATACACAAATATATTTCATTACAATCCTCCAACTCGTCCGCAGACACCATTTTAACACTACAACTTAGTTTTCTTTCCTTCACTCTCTACAATACCACCCGTCAGACGTGGTGCATAAGATGATCTGTACTCAACCTTCTTGACAGGTCTCTCTGGTCTCTCTCTCTTCTCTCCTGGAACCCTCGGCACGACAGGCTCATCATTAGCTCCAACTCTGCCACCAGATTCACGTTCTTCGCGTGGGTGTCTCTCGTTAGGGTTCTTGGATCCGTCCTTTCCATATCGCTTCTTATATCTCAATTGATCGTCCTCTGCAAATTCCATACGTAAAGGACGTCCTTGAATCTTGTTTACCCACCATTTCCTCGTTTTGGTTTTTGGTTTCTTGGACTTCTCTGCTTTTGGTTTGGCTTCATTTTCTGAATCGGAATCGGAATCGGAATCGCTGGACTCAGATGAGGATTCCGCGTCGGAAAGGTCTTCTTCGATTAAGACCCAACCTTTAACTGCACTCTGCGCAGCTGATACTTCTTCGAATGTAACCCAAGCGTAACCTTTGCATTTCCCAGAATCTTCGAATGTTGCAACGTGAATCTTCTCAATAGCTCCACACTTTTCAAAATGCTCCTTGATAACTTCTTCCGTAGCATCGAATCGTAAATTGCCGACAAAGATCTTCTTGCTGGGTGGTTTGCCTTCAATCACAGCCTCCTTCTTTTCTGGTCGACCCTCAAAAGATTTGTTGTCTTTAATGAGAAGTCTTCGACCAGTGAGCAATTGTTCAGATAATTCAACTGCCAGCTTGACTTGTTCCTCCGTGGCAAAATCCACATAAGCAAATCCCTTATTATGAACGGGCTTTCCAAACTTCTTCTCCACCTTGTTCGCAGGCTTTCCATCATTCGGTCCGGGCATGTGAATTCTGGTAATGTGCTCCTCCTCAAGATCCGAGAATTCCACAAACCATTTGCGTAACTCTTCTTTTGATACACTCCAAGGTAAATTTCCAACCCACACACCATGACCTGAACGCTTTTCTACTTCGGCTTTCTTTTTGGCTTCGGGTTCGGGAGAGGATTCTGCGCCAGATTTGGAAGGGGGAAGTGGTTTGCCTTTCTTTAGACGACGGAGAGCTTTCTTCGAAGGAGGTTCTGGGAGAGTAATATCGACTTCAATTTCTTCGACGGAGGATTTGCGTTTTTTGGTTGGTGGTTCTTCGGACGTCTCATCGTTATTTGTTTCTGTGACTTCTTCTTGAATTTCTGTTGGTTCTGCTTCTTCCGTTTCCTCTGAAGCCTCAACTGGTTCCTCTTTCTTATCTTTTTTCTCCTTCTTCGAGCGCTTCTTTTTAGATTCAATTGGGGTGTTTTCATCAGCACCTGTCATCTCAGTATTGATATCCATTGACTCTGTGGAAACTGGTTGTTCTGTAATAGCGCTTGACTTTCTCTTCTTGCTCTCTTTCTTTTCCTTCTTCTCCTTTCTCTCTTTCTTGTGACCTTTAATTGATTCCATGGTGTCTGATTCAACAATTAATGGCGCCATATTGTGGTTGAAAATATAAGACAATTGACAAAATATATATCTCCAATAAAATTAATCCATCAAAATTTCTTATCGAGAAACTTTCCTCGTCGGCGATACGGTGATAAGATAACCCGGATCTAACGAGGTCTGGACTAGCCTTTTAAGCTTCCCTTGAGAAGGCTGCGCTGTTGTTGTAGTGCACAGGCTATTTTCACCCTGAACTAATCTCAATAACTCTCAGCCTGATGATGCTCTAAATATATGCTTCATTCTTATTCAATAATCAATCTCGGTTCTGCGACGACGGTGATCCTTTTCCTGATTTTGTTACAACAACAACAATTTCATCGACAATCATCCCATCAAGAAATCACTACGATTCCTTATTTGAGGATAATATAGTCGAATATGACGTCGTCCCTCGATGAAGAAATCTTGGGTGAGGATATTACAGAGCACGAGGAAGGTACTCAGAGCAGTCCGCCCGATGAAATCAAACCGCCGCCATACAAGTCGTTCCGGTATGTTGCTCCTTCAATTCTATTCCAATACTTCCTGAAAGATTTACTTGGAGAGCTGTCGGGGACGGTTGTGACTGTACTCAATTCTCTATGACTTAAATACTCACTTGTGCTGTTGCAAACCCAACCTTGCGAACCCAACATTACAAACTCACCCACAAGTTACATCTCTGCTTAGCACGATCATCAACTAATATGTGCGACTATAGAAAGAAGTATCGCAAGATGCGAATAAAGTTCGATGAAGTGATGCGCCAAAGTAATAATTTGTTTATGGAGGAGCAGTTGGCGGATGAGACAGCAAAGAAGTTGGCGCGCGAAAATGAGTTAGTGGAGATTCGAATTTGCTTTTGGAAACTATAGCTAACAAAATAATTTACAGTCGGCTCATGGATTTACTACTAGATATTAATAACTCTGCTCAAATACCAGCCGATAAGCGCATCGATTTGAGTCTCAGTGGACCTGCTCTTGCAGACGTTCCTGCTCTAGTCACAAAAGAAGAGCTTGCGAGAGTTGCCGAAGACACATCACCCGAAGGTCAAGCCCTCTATAAAGAGCTCCAGGATTTATTGAAGGACAGAGATGACACGAACACTACGGATAAACCAACCCAGTCTCTTGCGAAACTCATGTCGACCGTTCCACATATATCTTTGAAGAATCCTCACGTCTCTCCTGAATCATTGGCTGATTTCGAGCCTCAACCGGGAAAAAAGTATCCAATCGGTTACATGTCTTTGGAAGAAATGGATAAATACCTTCACGAAGTTGATGCGTCAATTAATATAGTCCCTGGTATGGCGACCGTCGTCTATCCTCCTACAGCACAAGATGTTACACTTAAGAATCCTCATAGTGTTCTCAATTGGCTTCGACGCCATGAACCTAAGATATTCCTTCAAGATGGTGAAGGTCCTATCGAAAAGATAAACACCAAACCTGGTGCTCTACGTGGAGCAGGAAAACGCATTCATATTCCCGCGCCCGCACGTCAAGATTCCTTAGAAATTGTCGAAGAGGATGGCATTGGCTATGATGCTACGTTAAGCGGAAACAGCTCTAAAATCAAACGAAAGCGAGATGCCGAAGATGATGGTGGATATACACCCAAATCTGGTAACCCAATCAATAAGACTAAGAGGCAAAGACCGTCAAAAAAGAAGTCTGATCCACCTGGCGAGACCACTCCTTCCTCGAGCTCGAGAAAGAGTAAATCGAGAGCAAAACTTTCATCGCCTGTCGACACGGGTCCAACCCCGCATCCTTTTGGTCCAATCGATTAAACGACCTTTGTGTCATTGAACATGGGTCATATGAACGTACTTCAAGGCATTGCGACTTTACTTTTTGGAGGAGGTATTGAAGTTGAAAAAATGCAGTTCTAATTCGGGAAATTTGATATATTGAGACTGTATTTTATAGGAAGGAAAGGGAGCTTTTATGATGAATGGATGGATTACTTTATTGGAGTTAGGGGCGAGGAATTGATATCTGGTTCGCTTCTAAATGCAAAGGGTTTAAGGAAAGATGCATCATTTGTACGATACTGGGGGCAAGGAAAAATTAAGGAATCGAGGGCTTATCGTTTCTCCGAAGATTTATAGAGGATAGTTAAGGAATGAGTAAAAGCAAAGGAATGATGCTTATTAGGTACTTTATGATGAGTTAATTTGGGATGCTTGTGGTCACTTGATATTGATATGAATGCATCGATGATTTGTTCAAGGAAATTATATACTCAAGATGCGCTGGTCAAAGGGAAAAGGAATGAAAGTATTAGCGAGAGGAGAGGAGATCGTCAATTGATCGGGGATGTAGAAGTGTGAAATATTAGAAGTTCTACAAGTAGACTTATTTCTTTTATTATCTTTAAAAAGATGTGAGATGATGAGCTATCAAGAAGAGAACAAATCTTCTATATCTACTTGATTTTAGTAGGCTATGCGTGAATTGGTATTACAGTAAGTATGAGTAGAACGGGAGTATATTTAAGAGAAAGTAGTGCATTGTCCGTCTAGTGTTAAGCGTAGCTACCTAGCTATATGTCGGTTACCTTGAGAATAAAGGTTAGAATGACGATGATATCATTGATTAGGGACGGGCTACCTCATCAGCATAATCTATAACAAAATTCGTCAGACTTTGAACTCTTGATATCTAGAAGTTTGATGGTTCCAACCATACCATTCCTCAGCCCATCTCACCATCGTCCACATTCCACGTGATAAAGAAAGCTCTCACTCTCTCCCGGAACAATTTCCGAAGCAAGCCCTTGTAAATTGAACCCTTGTCTACTAGGTACGATACAACTCCTCGCAATTGATGCAGCATCGCCAATCCGCCATTCGGCCGCTGCTAAATCAACCGATGTGGGGGGAGCTGCAGAGGAAAATGTTATGGAAAAGCTCCGTTGTCGGATCGAGCTTTTGATTCGTAGGCGGGGCACAGCTGATGGATTTTTCTAGATTGGGTGAGCATATGGAACAGAGAGATATTTTGCCTATGATGGATGAATTGAGTGACTGGTTGTATTGTATGATGTTGTGTGTAACCTTTCTGTTGTTTGGTGGTTTCCGGGTTCGGTCAATTAGATGAGTGTTACTAGGTACTACTGGATTCCATGGGTAGAGTGAAAGCGGGAGTGAAGTATGAATTGGGGGAAAATGGAGATTGGAGTCAATGGATTGAATAATGATGGGATAATAGAATGATAATAGAATGATTAACGTGTGATTTGGATGAATTAAATGGAATAAGATGTACCAAATTCATTATGTATTGAAAATGTGGATGTTTGGTCATTCATTGTTTAGATGTGACTCCGTTATCAATCTCTAAGCTTGAGCTTGGAAAATTCCTTCCTTTCTTCCCCTCCTTCCCGTCTTTATTTAAAGTTATTCTAGATTTTCTATACACATACATACATACATACCTACATACACATACACACCTGCAAAATATACAACCCAGAATTGACCCGAGAATATCTCCCTCGAGTTTTCAATTCCTCCTTCGTTCCCTCCTTCCGAGACACCCTCTCCTTCCCCGCGGTTAAGAAATCCCCCACGTTGCTCACTGGTCCTCGGTACAAGCAAGCGCATTGCAGCTAGGAATTTCAGACGTCCGATCGACCAAGCAGAGTAGCCGTCCAATTCTCTATCAAAAAGCCTCGTCTGCACCTCTTCGAAAATGTCTCTCCACCGCAGCATTACCTCTTCCCTTCTTCGCAGCGCCCCTCGATCCTCGATCTTCACCCCACGATTTGGCAGCGCCATTACACATTCGCGCACCATGGCATCCGCAACTTCTTTCCAAAAAATCAAGGTCAAGAACCCAATTGTCGAATTGGATGGTGATGAAATGACACGCATCATCTGGAAAGATATCAAGGATAAATTCATTCATCCTTATTTGGATATTGATTTGAAATATTATGATTTGGGTTTGGAGTATAGAGATCAGACCAATGATCAGGTTACCATTGATGCGGCAGAAGCTATTAAGAAGTATTCTGTTGGTGTGAAGTGTGCTACTATTACCCCGGATGAAGCTAGAGTTAAGGAATTCAATTTGAAGCAGAGTGAGTTTTCCTTTCCTATATATAAAAAAATGCAAATTTCTGCGAAAATGGGAAGCTAGAAAAGAAGCTAATGAGTCTTAAATAGTGTGGCTTTCACCAAACGGTACGATCCGTAATCACCTAGGAGGAACCGTCTTCCGCGAACCTATCGTTATTCCACGTATTCCCCGTCTTGTTCCTGGCTGGAAAAAGCCAATCATCATCGGTCGTCATGCATTTGGAGATCAATACCGCGCCAAAGATATGGTTGTCCCAGGTCCAGGTACTCTTACCATGACTTTCACTCCCAAGGATGGCAAGCCAGTAGAAACTGTCGTTTATGATTTCAAATCAGGAGGAGGAGTTGCCCAAACCCAATACAATACCGATGAATCCATTAGCGGATTTGCTCATGCCAGTTTCAAGATGGCTCTTAACAAGGGATTACCTTTGTATATGAGCACCAAGAACACAATTCTGAAAAAGTATGATGGTAGATTCAAGGATATCTTTGAGGAGATTTTCCAAAAGGAATATAAGACACAATTTGAGGAGAAGAATATCTGGTATGAACATCGATTGATCGATGATATGGTTGCACAAATGATGAAGAGTTCAGGTGGTTATGTTATGGCTTTGAAGAGTATGTTTTTCCCTCTTCCCCCGATTTATGTTTCCACACGGAAGAAACTAACTTCAAACAGGACTACGACGGAGATGTTCAATCCGATATTGTAGCCCAAGGATTTGGTTCCCTCGGTCTCATGACCTCAGTTCTCATCACCCCCGATGGAAAGACCTTCGAATCCGAGGCCGCACACGGAACAGTCACTCGTCATTACCGCGAACATCAAAAGGGTAACCCTACATCCACAAACCCTATCGCATCAATCTTTGCCTGGACAAGAGGTTTGATCCAAAGAGGTAACTTGGATAACACCCCAGAAGTTGTGGCTTTTGCAGAGAGTTTGGAACAAGCTTGTGTGGATGTTGTTGATAAGGAGGGTATCATGACCAAGGATTTGGCATTGGCCTGTGGAAACACCGGAAAGGGAGATTATGTTACCACTGGAGAATATTTGGAGGCTGTTGAGAGAAAGATGAAGGGGCTCTTGAAGGAGAAGTTGTAGAGGCGATTTTATGAGTCAAGATTTACATGACGGGATTAATAGATATTTGTTGGTGGATGATGATTTGATGCGTGTGGAGGAGGTGGATAGACCATATATCGATCTAGATGGTTGGTGCGTATGTGCATGTGTTGGTTGGTACAAATACGTCTGTTTTTTTTTCATTACAATGCATTTTCTGGAGCGGAGAACCCTGTCTACGGATAGGATAGTTTAGTAAGCATCGTTTAGGAAGTATATGATATCATGAATAGGCGAAAATTTGATCTACTTAGCTTTTGGCGTGCATTTGTATGTATGTATCTTTTGATGGGGGGTGATGGTTTGTGGGGGATTGGGATGAGAATGGGAAAGAGAAGGGGTATGGAGGAAAGATGGGGAAATGGGAGATAGGAAGGATGGTAATATAGAAGAGAAGAATGGCAAGAAGGGGGAAGGGGGGAGGGGGGAGGGGGAAAGAAGAAGAGAGAGGGATTAAAAGGAGAGACGAGCGGAAAGGAGGGAGGGATTAGAAGGAGAGAGGGATTAGAAGGAGAGAGGGATCAGAAGAAGAGAGGGATTAGAAGGAGAGAGGAGCGGAACGGAGGGAGAGATAGGAAATAGGTTGGAATTTTGTATCAGGATGGGAATGCGAATCGGAATTGGTATGTTTGTGTGTGTATGTGTATATATAAGTAAATTTAAAGGTTTATATATTTGTAAATGTTTTAAATGTATAAATAGTGAGATAGGATTTATGGTTATGGTTATGGGGTGGATTGTATGATGATGGGGATGGGAATAAATGGTAATGAGAAGAGAAGGGAAGGGATAAGCTATGTTATAATGAGTTGTGATTAGTTATAATGATTTTTTTGAATTGTGGCCTATGGAGGTGGGGAGGGGATAGGGGGCGATGGGAGTGGGAGTGTATACTAGGTATGTATGTATGTATGTATGTATGTATGTATGTATGTATGTATGTATGTATGTATATATATATTTATTATTAGAATCTTGAGTATAGAGATATTGGAATAGTTGTTGTATATGCTGTATTTTATTGAATTGTATGTTTTGTTTGTTGGGAGGAGATGGGGAGGAAAAGGTTAAGAAGAATGTAGGAGGAGGGAATAGGGGATGATTATCAATGATTGTTTAGAGAGTGGAGAGATGGAGAAATGGAAAGATGGAAAGATGGAAAGATGGAAAGATGGAAAGATGGAAAGATGGAAAGACTGGAAAGATGGAAAGATGGAAGATGGAAAGATGGAAAGATGGAAAGATGGAAAGATGAAAGATGGAAAGATGGAAAGATGGAAAGATGAAAGATGGAAAGGAGGATGAAGAATAATTGGAGGGATGAGAGGAGATGGAATGATAGAATAGAATAGAATAATTAGGGTACTAGGTAGACATCTATATCTTTGAATTCGCGAGGCGCGGCGTGATGAGGTGAATGGGATCAGATGGAATGAGGTGGCAAGTCATGGTTAGAGTGATGTGCTGGTATCCGTATGGGCCGTACGAGGGTGGAAAGATGTGGAATTTGAGATTTGAGGATACATATGTAGATATTTAGATGTTGAGATATTGAGAGATGTATCTGATATATCTGATGTAAAACGGACTGAATTGATGGGAATGCGAACGGGAATGGGAATGGCAATCCGAAGTGGTTGATGAAGAGAAAAAGATATGAAGAGAGATGAGCGGGATGTTGGAGTACTTGTTAGGGGGTGGATGTGGGATGTGAGGATACTGGGTTAGATTGAGAGGATGGAGGGAATAGACTGGTGTTTTGAGGAGGTATTTGGGGAGGGGTTGTGGAAGATGAGAGGTGAGAAAGTCTAGGGGGGCGAGAAGGGGAAAGATAGGAAGAGATGAGAGGGGAAGGCAAAGAGAAGTTTGGGGAAAGTATTTAGGTATATGTAAGGTTGTGGTAGAATTTAGGATATAGGGCGTAGGGTGTGGTGCATAGGATGTAAAGGGCGTAGGCGTTTGATTGTGTTATGAAGGATGAAGGATGACCTTGAGGAAAATCTTGATGACTGTCCAAAAGTCAAGATGAAGAGTTGAAAAGCTTAGCTGGGAATAGATGGGTATCGAAATGGTAGGTAAAGAGATAATAAAGTCAATGGACATTGCGGTGCGCAAATATCAAATCACGAGAAAGAGAAAGATATGGTGAAAAACATATATGTTTTTTCCGCTATTATGAAAATCCTAGCCTAGTACAATAAAACCGGTTAAAAGACCACATCCTCCTATTCTTTCCAAGTTCCAATCCATAGTCTTCATTAAATCATTAAGGAGTGTGGTGTAAGAGAAATAAAAATAAACTAAAATCAAAAAGCCTCCATCCGTCATATCCATCATCGAAATCATAAGTTAGAGTGGATCCATTCGAAAGAAAAAGAATCATATGATTTCTGTATCCCGAAAGATCAGTTATTGATCACAAAGTCACAGTCTTCGATCTCTTGGACTTACATTTCTTCTCGGATCCCCATCCGCCCCAGTTACCGCCCTTGTAGGAATCCGCTGGACATCCTCCAACATCACAGATGGCCTTGGGGTACTTGGAATCATAGTCTGCTCTGCTATAGGAGTACGCCTGGCTAACAGACCAGTACTCGGATCCTCTCCATTGGCCATAGTTGGTTGCGTGGTTGGGAGCCCAGACTTCGGTATACATGGAGCAGTAGATTCCTTGAGGCTTGTTGCTTTGACTCAATACGTAGACCACGACTTGGTTGCAGATGGCGGGGTGGCCAGAGGATGGAGGATGCTCAAGGTTGTATTTGGATTGCGCTGTGCAGGCGGATGTGCAGGCGACGACTCCGTACTCGTAGGTTTTGACATCGTCAAAGGAGAAGAATTTGTAGCCCATGTAGGTATCAGTCTTGGTGACTGGATCGAGAGGTGCCTGCATGGCTCCTTCGAGAGAAACTGGGCCATTGTATTTATCACAAGGTTCTGGGGAATATCTTTTATTGTATCCATTGGATCCGGAAATGACGACGCGGAAGTCCTCTGGGGGATTTTTAGTATGCTGTTTGACGTTATTGCTTCAGATAGAGGGGAAGAGAAGCTTACTTCTGTATTGGACAGTATTGGTAGCAGTCTCCTTCTTGATTTGAACACCCCACTTTGCACACTTGTAGTTGATGGTGGATGGTGGGTTGGAGCACTTGTAGCCAGGATCGACAGTGGGATCACGTTCAATATAGATGTTGAAGGCAATGCAGCCATCTTGTTGATCACAGTATTGAGCACACTCGACAGTGTCGTAGGATTTCAAGGTTTTTTAACCAAGATACGAGGTGGTATGGGTAGAACCTTTGAGCTCAGAGAAAGCAAGGGTGTAACCTTGTGGAGTAGGAGCTTTGGAGGCAATCTTGTTGTATTGAGGGTCGGCTAAGAAAGCATCGGCGGTGTCTGGTCTTTAAGATTATCAGTCGGAATTTATTTTCATGGTTACTATGTGCTGGAAACTTACTTAGAATTTGGACCATAGCCGAGAGGTTGTTGCTCGCAATCGCGTTTGACAAGATCGCGCTTTCTGGCGACTCCGTCTGGAGCAGCAACATCATTCACTGCCGCAGCTCCTTCAAGGACGGCATCAGAAACTGGTTTAACTGCGACAACTTGGGAAGAGACGTCGACTGGAGCAGAAGAGACTTCAGCTTGTGGGAGAGCATCAATGGCACCCAAATCCATGTCTTGAGGAAGTGGATTGGCAAAGGCCAAAGCTGCAAAAGCCGAAGCGATGATGACGGGACGCATTTTGATTCTTGAACAAATGTTTCTTTAAGTTGGTTGTGAGTGTAAGATGATTGAGAAGATGTTGATGATGTGGATGATGCTGATTTGAAGTGGAAAAGATGCGGATTCTTATACTTCTTCATCACGTAGAGAATGAAATTTTGATATGAGTCCATATCAGTCTGATGGGCTTTCACTTGAACCCAAGGCTTGGAGATCAAGCGGAGAATGCACTGCTTGCTGCAGATCAAGCGCCACATTCAATGAAATGAGGGGTTGAAGATAGATTTAGATGCCAGAGGCCGACCCTCAGAGATGCAAGATAAACTTGGGGGTGACCCCCATCAGGAGCATTGAGAAACTCATAGAGCTGATCCCTTGTACATCTAGTATAACGTCCTGCATCTTTCAAGCCACATGAAGTATAGTTGTTTTCATTTCACTCGAATGAAAATCTATTGACTGTTGCGGCACTAGTCTTTCGACATATCGTCAAATACAAAGACACTACCATTGCACTAGGTTTTCTCGGAGAATTCTCACCCCAAAACGATTTTCGCAAAATCCATAGAACTTGTAAAGAGCCCACAAAGAACAACAGAGAGCCACCAAATTCCAGTTGAGGTTGATTCAAGGTATTCTGGCCGTGCGCAATATTCGGACGATTTACTAATTCCGAATCGGAATTTTTACTGGTAACTGTGATTAGAGTTGGGGGTGTGTACCGATGTGATCGATTTGGGAAGAGCCTCGCATGAGAGGCACCATTTGTCCGAAAATGGAATTCTTAGGCTTACAGATACATAAACTTACTGAGCAAGATCAAGCTCAGAATAGTATAATGATATTCGGCCAAGCCACTAGGGAATCCGGAGATGAAACCCTCAGGTTCACAAATACAAAACCTTGTTCGGCAAGGTTAGCTCGAAATAGTCTAGAACTAATAACAAGGTCCATGCCGCCAGGAAGCATAGGAACGGTAATGTGTTTACCATGATCAGGTACCAGGAACAAGCGAATGTCAATATCAAAACTCCGAGAGCATGACGAACATGTGAATAGGTATGCAAGACAAATTGTTGTTTTCGTAATACGTGCTCGCAACGATAATCTTTGGATCTTGGTATGCTACATGAGAGAGAGAGAGAGAGAGAATTTCTTTGGTTCTCATCAACTGGTAACTGCTATGATTATTCATCACGGGAATAGACTTGGGGAACTCCAATTTTTTGTGGAGATTTTCCGAGCTGAAGTTAGGTGGGTTTTCTCCGCCAAGTGGACCTAAGCATGTTCATACATGCAGATACGTATCGCACTCGTCAAGAAAACTGTGAGCTCTCGTTGCCAATTTTGACTGCGGGACGGGCTGAATAACTTCATGTAAGCTTTAACATTACTATTGTATGCCACGCGCAAAAGGTACGTAAGAATCATTTTTCTGTGGAATTTGACTTCAAGACCTACGAAGTTAAAGTTTTTTTGAGGTAAAAAGGTGTCTGCAGAAGTTCATCAGATTAGAGCAGATCTCCCGCTGCAAAGAATGCGTGCGATGATCTAGAGCAATGACTCCTAGCTTCCACTCAGATATCAGGCGACGACCCAGCGCCTCGGTAGCTTCAACGTGATTAGGGTTAAAGGAAAATCCAAATCGGGAGTACTAATGAGGTCGGGAAGGCATGGTATTGTTGTATAACAGTCGTAGCTTCTTGAAATCTTAATTCCGTTAATGCTAGAGTCCACTGCCACGCAGATACGAGATGCCATTCACTGGCATTTTAAGAACACGGTCTGCGAAACGAATGTCGACAACGAGGTGGAAAAGCCATGCCTTGTGTTTGACATGAGAAGGACTGTCCCCAGAAACGTGACCATGTCTTCAAACCCACGACGCTGGTATACATGTGGTAGAAAAATACCCCCCATAGGTGTCAAATTGCCAATGACATCTTTTAGACCCGACTAATCTGTAAGCGTTGTGTCGATCACGATAGCCGATTCCGCTTCATACATCCATAAACGGAATGGCCAATCAATTCCCAGACATCGAAGTTTGAATTGATCTCGTTTCTCCCAAAGAATCATATAATTCCAATTCTGGGTGTACAACTGAACAATTGGGGGCAATCCAGATCAGACATTGGTACCGCACAGACAATGGTATGAACACATGGAAATAGACTTCCAAGTACCTCGGACTTTACTTATAATCTAAGTCGCCCGAATTCTAAGAAAGTATCAGCCGATTTATTGCTAGTTGGTGTATTTAGAATGCATGTCAAAAAGGTGCGTGAGATCAAGGTTCGCAGATCAACCCCGGAAAACATATTTGGCTAAAAATACTATGTAACCTTGGTTGATTTGAGTCCATCTGCATGCCTTACGTTGACAATAAAAATGCATATCAAGGTTCAGACCGTCAAGCATAGTACTTAAATTATGTCCACTAGAACATCATTTAATCAACAGCTGATTATTATACATCATGTACCCAAGACAAATGGCTGCTTCGAGACTTCAACCACTTCGTTCTATATCCAATCGCCATTGAAGCTCAAGAGAACAAACTCTCTCTTTGCGCATAAGAAGGATTCATGATGAGTTCGGTTCGAACTTTGAAGAAGCCAAAGTCTCCTATATTTGACGCTCTGTGATAAACTCAATTGTGCCACAAATAAACATCGATAGATGTGAAAAAATGAGGACTTGAAAGTAGAAGATCTATATGTCATTGGGAAGTAGCGAGAAGCCATGTTTTCCCAAATTCGATGCTCTAGAACAGATTCAATTGTGCCACAGAAGTCTGTCGGCTGCCATAGGTATCAGCTGTTAAGTTGGGAGTTCAAGATCGTTGTGTCATTGAGAAGTATCGAAATGATTCTGAACTTTGAATTCCGTTTCGACTTGGAGAAGTCGTACGATGAAGCTGTTGGTATCCGAAGTATTGGGATGAGTTCGAGATCACTACATCAATTCCATTGTTGGATCCTTGAAATGTAATGGTGTACGGCATAAAGATGCATCAGCAGGGAGCAATAGAGAGATAGGAGTACTGGAAAGAAGAAGAATCATCTGGTAAAGAATATATTCAATGTTTCACTCTTCTTTATTCGGCAATATCGAGATTTTCAAAGATGTTTGTTTGATGTTTCTGGATCCCGCATCTTTCCCTTATCTATGGGACTTTTCATTTGCTGATCTCGCGATGATAAGATGGAATTCGTGCCTGCATCTCAGTGCGTGAGTTACGCCATGCACCACGCGTCATCATCAGGTACGACCTCTCGCAAACCCCTTCATCTTCCCGCTTTACGCACTCTAGTCTCTGAACCCAGCAGTTCTTTTTTCACCACTCATTCTGTACGACCCCAATGCCTTGATTCCGTTTAGATATAATCAGGAGCGAACACGTTGAATTATTTATGTACGATTCATCTGATGTAAGATTGCGTCTCACTGTGCATGCGACAAATGAGGTCAGTTGCTTCTATTTGAAGGGGCAGTACGTAGTTACTGCGAGCCGTGCCGCTCTGACATCAGACATTCCTTTGCGCAAACACGTTGATTGTTGTTTCCCAAAGTTAGAAAATATGTAAAGTATATTTCTGTTTGTATTTCTTTTGTACTGTATTTTTCACTCCTTATCTTCCGTTTCTCTCTTTACTCAATCATTCCTATTCTTTTTGAATATTTTATGCGCCGGCGCAATATTTCAATTCATCTGCGAAAATGTCTTTATCGAAAACAAAACCACGATCCTCACACGACGGAACCGATGAGGAATCTCCTCTTCTAGATCATTCACGACCAACTACCGTTGGTACACACTCTTTGATTCATCAAACGCATTCCCCGCGGATTATTATCTTACTTCTTACCACGATAGTTTTTATAATTGGGTTTGGAATATATTTGGTTTGGATACCATCGATGCGTATATATGAGGATATATTGTGTCATCGTTATTATGAAGAACTACAGGGACGAGGTGAGGTAGGGCTGAGTAGCACAATTGATGAAGCTAGGTGCAAGGGCGATAAGGTTCAAGAAGAATTGAACATTTTGACTGCGGTATTGGAAACACTGAAAGCGTTACCAGGTAGGGAGAATCTGCGTAAAAGAAAAACTAGAGACTGATGTTGATGATATGTAGGAATGTTTATGGCTGTTCCATATGGACTTTTGGCTGATAAGTACGAATTTTTTATACCTGTAAAGTTATACAGTCAATTTTTCGCGATTTAATTTGTTCCTAGAAGAATTCATCTGACATAGAAATAGAATTGGACGCAAACCAGTTTTTGCTTTGTCAATCCTTGGTCTCCTCCTCTCCCTCTTATTTGAAGTGTTCGTTATGAGCGAGTGGATGATGCTACCCATTCGTGCTGTGTGGTTTGCACCATTTTTACAATTCATTGGTGGCGGTGAAAAGACCGCTTCCGCAATATTTTATGCTATCATCTCAGATGTTACCACTCAAGATGAAAGGTATTGATCCAAATTATTTCACATTCTTAGTTTTTATCACTGACAAATAACAGAGCAAATGCTTTCCTTTTCGCTGCATGCGCTTCACTCTCTGCAGAACTTATTGCACCAACCGTAGCAGCCGCAATTATGGTCTATTCTCCATGGATTTCAATATGCTGCGGAGTATTCGTTTTGACATCAGGTTTATTATGTCTCATCGCTTTTGTACCCGAAACACTCCATATTCATGCCTCCCAAACACAAACTTCCACATTGGTCCCAGATGATTCATCTTCGGAATATATAAGCGACTCATCATCCGATTTCAACGAGCCCTTAAAGCCAAAACGGAAATCGACCATCACCCGCCGTCTATCTGATTTCTACACCACTAGCCGACCTCTTCTTACTCTACCTGTTCTTCTCCTTCTTCTACCATCTATGACCCGCGTCATAGGTCAACAATCGATTGACCTTTGCATACGCTACATATCTACCCGCTTTTCCATCCCCTTATCCCACGCTTCTCTCATCCTCTCTCTACGGGCCCTAAT